TGTCCAGGAAATTTTTCGCATGACCCCCCATGAGAAGCAGGTCATGATGTTCAGTGCTACCTTGGGCAAAGAGATCCGTCCAGTCTGCCGCAAGTTCATGCAAGATGTAAATACCCTTCTACCTTCTCTCCCTCCACTCCCCGCCCACTGCCTCCTCCCCTTCCTCGCCCTCTTCCTCCAGACTCCCTTGTCCTTCAAGTGCCAAGAAGGGGGCTTTTGCCCATCTGGGAGCAACAACTCCTTGAAGAGACACACAGAGGCAGAGACAGCTAGTGTTAGGGTCTGCGCGGGTGCCAGGGAAACTCCGGAAGACTTGGTCGGGTTAACGTGAGAGCGGGTAGAGTTCGACATTTTTTTAATCCCAGCGTTTTTGAACCTCTTCTCCCTTTTGGGGGAGGGCAGGATTTTCTGCCCTACCACCCATTCATCCATCATCTCCTACATACCCCTTACAGCCACGCACCCCAAGGTGACATCAAGCATACAGCTGGAGTTTCTGCTCATCAAAACTCATAACTCCCGGTGGTAGGAGAGTAAGAGAGGGACAGACAGATTGCAGGGCATGTCCAGAAGAAGAGCAAACAACACAAATGAATCTGCCCCCTCCCCACCTCCAGGGGTGGGGGCCTCTGGCACCTCAGTCCCCAGTCCCCTACTCCTTCCCACCCATACCTCCTTGCACCCATCGGAACCTCGGTCGATGTGAGCCGGCAGCAGAGAAGCACCGTGGCACGACGAGGGAATGCGGACGGCACCGAGCTGTGGATGGCGGCAGCGGAGGCCGCGGGGAAACCTGACCAGGAAGCTGAGGACCATACCAGCCTCTTTTTCCGTTCCCGGTTTTTTTCCTGAACCTAATACGTGCTGTGCCCCATTCTCCCCCATATGTGTTGGGGGTGGGGTCTCCTGAATGGGTGGTGGATTTTTTTTCTTTTAAAAAATTATTTTTCAATATTCAGAGGAGAGGGATATGGGAAAGGTAAAGTGGAGATTTCCACTTGATGTAATCAGATGGGTGTTAGGGTTGGGGCTTGGGGGAGCCCATTGTTTGAGCAGTGGAGTATGTTCCTCTCCTCCCTGCAGTGCTCCTTCCCTTGAAATAACTTTCTCTTTAGTTGCACTTGGGGTTAGAATTAGATTTGAAGGCAGCCTTGGAATTTCTCTTTGAAAAGCATGATTTGCTAGCCTGCCTTCTGGGATTCAGCTTCTTGGTTAGTTTTTTTCCCCCCAAACACACACACATCCTTGCCCATCTTGATCTCTGGGTCTATACATTAATTAGGTCCCCCAAGATGGTAGGGAGAGTGTTAGGAAAGTTTGGCTATAGAGTTGTCTTGTATCAGCTTCTTTTTTTATGCTGCTTTCCTCCCCTTCAAGGGTTGTGTGTGTGTGTTGTTAAAAAAAAAAATTTTTTTTTTTCAATTTTAAAGATGAATGCTATCTGCTGCTATTTTTTTTTTAAAGCACCCTTTACTAGTGCTGTCCATGTAAACCAAACTGTAGATGGTTTGACTATTAGAGACCAGTCTCATCTAAAACTATTCCATATAATATACTCATCTTGAGTAATTTTTGGTTCTTAAGTGGACTTTTTGACTAGATCTATTACAGCCATTCTGCTCTTAAAGACATCCACTTTCTAATGTGTATAAGATTCTCTTAGTTGAGAGACAATAAAAATGGAGCATTCCTTCTTATCTCCCCCATGTTCTTAATAACCAGCTCTGATGGAATTACTCTGACCTTGAGTCACTGTTCCCCATCATTTCTAAGGTATTTGAATCATATCATCTCTTTGAATGTCACCTATTTTCTTTCTTTCACCACCTCTATTTGAGGTAATGGTGTCTTGCCATTGGATGGTTTCACTGCTCCATTACTTTGCAAAGTTCCTTTTTCCCCTGATAGTTTTCAATTGGGCTATCTTAAAACTCAACTGATAGGAAGGAAGGAAATTAGATCTAGTGTGAAAAAGACCACAGTAAAACTGGGTATTTTTAGTGGTGGGGTGGGGTTTTCAATCTTTTCTCTTCTCCCCATCCCCCCATGGGGTGTTTTGGAGATCAACTTCCTCCACCCCCCCAGGTTTAACCCCCCCACTCTGCCCTCCTCCCGTTCCCCACCCCCTTCCTCCCCCTCAGCCAATGGAGATCTTCGTGGATGATGAGACGAAGTTGACGCTGCACGGGTTGCAGCAGTACTACGTGAAACTGAAGGACAACGAGAAGAACCGGAAACTCTTTGACCTTCTGGATGTCCTTGAGTTCAACCAGGTCAGTGTTCAAGGTCCAGTAGAGTGATGAGCATTGGATACATAACAAGTTATAGCAGAAACCTGTGACATAGCAGAAACCTGTGACCAAGGTGTGTTGAGGGAGCCACATGAGAGAATGGTGAAGACATTCTCATAAATGGGAATATAAATGTTTTTTGGGGACTGAGCATGAGCAAGGTGTTCTGTGACTGGGATAAATAATGAAGATGTCAAGTAAAATAAACCCCCAAAAGTAGATTTTTTTTTTTTTTTTTTTGGTAGAGGGGATTGAACTTGGGCAGTCCACCAGTGAGCCACATGCCCAGCCCTATTTTTTTTGTATTCTTTTTAGAGATAGGGTCTCACTGAGTTGCTTAGCACCTTGCTGTTGTTGAGGCTGGCTTTGAACTTGTGATCTTCTTGTCTTAGCCTACCGAGCTGCTGAGATTACAGGCCTGCACCATCGTGCTCAGCTCCCAAAGTAAAATTTTTGAAGGGTTTTAGGAAGTTTGTAAAAATCTTGAGCTGTTCTAGGCATTTAGGGTTGTTTTATTGGTTTATTTCTTGTACTCCTTGTTGAGGAGAAGCAACCCATCAGTTTACCTGGTGTGTGATGACTTTGCTCTAGAGACTACTAGAATTAGGATAAGCCCCTTTGTCTTTTGGTAAGTAGGAATGTTAGTTGTGGTCTTCCTAGAACTTTGTTGTAACTTTTAGCATTTATCTATGAGATGGCCTTATCCTTGTCTCATAACATGTCTGCCAGTTTGGATGATTATTCTCCACACCACCTCAGAGGTCAGCCTACCTAGAAATCATCAGAACTTGGAGAGAAAGGCTAAATTGTATTTAGAACAGAAAAGGAAAAATGTAATAGGGTATAATAGGGACTGAGAGGAATTCCTTTAGATGAGTAAGATTATTAAAAACTCTGCCACATGTGTAATTTCTTTTAAATACTATGTACCCCCTCACTCTCATGCACCACCCCTCCCATACAGGTGGTGATCTTTGTGAAGTCTGTGCAGCGGTGCATCGCCCTGGCCCAGCTCCTAGTGGAGCAGAACTTTCCAGCCATTGCCATCCACCGTGGGATGCCTCAGGAGGAGAGGTGAGTTGGAGCTGGAGAACAACTTTGTGACCTTGGGGAAAAAGTGAACCATTGAGAGAAGGGGACCTCAACATTTTCCTAATTTCCTTTCTCACAAAGGCTTTCTCGGTATCAGCAGTTTAAAGATTTTCAACGACGGATTCTTGTGGCCACCAACCTATTTGGCCGAGGCATGGACATTGAGCGGGTGAACATTGCCTTTAACTATGACATGCCTGAGGATTCTGACACCTACCTACATCGGGTAAGTACCACATCCAGGATACCCCACTCTTCCATACCCTTATTTTATGTATCTTTTTCTTTAAGATTTTTTTTTTTTGAGGGGATGGAATCCTACCAAGGATTGACCATAGGGGCACTTAACCACTGAATCACATCCTAGCCCTTTTTTTCCACTTTGAGACAGGGTCTTGGGGCTGGGATGTGGCTCAAGTGGTAGTGCGCTTGCCTGGCATGCATGTGGCCCGGGTTCGATCCTCAGCACCACATACAAAGATGTTGTGTCCGCCGAAAACTAAAAAATAAATATTTAAAAAAAAAAAAAGAGAGACAGGGTCTCACTAAGTTGCCGAGGTTGGCCCCTAACTTGGCTATCCTTCTGCCTCGGCCTGTAGAGGCGTGTACAACTGTGCCCAGCCTTTTTTGTACATTACATATTCCTATTCTTGAGGCATCTTCCATCTTTAGGGTCTTCCAATTTTACTTTTTTTCTTCTTCCAGGTGGCCAGAGCAGGTCGCTTTGGTACCAAGGGCTTGGCTATCACATTTGTGTCAGATGAGAATGACGCCAAGATTCTTAATGACGTGCAGGACCGCTTTGAGGTCAACATCAGTGAGCTGCCTGATGAGATAGACATCTCCTCCTACAGTGAGTATGGAGCTCAGGAAACTGGCTCCCCCAGCTCTTAGATTTTCCTTGTTCTTATTACGTATATCTTGAATCCTTTATGTAGGTAGTGGTCACCTGATGCCTTATTGGTGGCCCTTTGATGACTTCTTGTCCCTTGATCTTTGATACTGATTGGGGTGTTTTATTTACTATTTTTGTGGGGTCTTTTTTTTCTTTCTTCAAAGGATTTCTTTCTGTACTCCTGAGTCTGTCCTCTCAATCTACATGGTACACAAACATCTGCATGTATGTACCTGTGTGTTTCTGTGTTGGTTTCCCCTTTGTGTGCCTTATTTTAACTGCCTTGTTTTGTCTTTAGTTGAACAGACGCGGTAGAGGATTCACCCATTCTGGAATGTGACGTCTATCTCTTCAGGAGAGGACACCAGGTGTGGGGGTGAAGGAGACACTACTGCCACCTGCCCCGACAGCCCCCACCCCTCCCCAAGGCTTCCTTCTTTTGCATCACCACCACTCCTAAACCCCATTCCTGATTTATCAGAATTTTTTTTAACAAAACTAAAAATGAAACACAAATGTGTCTGTGGTATCTGTAAGTGCTCCATCCTTTATTGCTTACGGTAAAGTTATTTAGGGCTTAATCCTAAATATTCTCAGTTCTGAGTACCCTGCTGTAGAGTGGGGTCAAAGTGAGAACAAGCCTGCATAGGCCATGGCTCCTCAACTACTTTCCAGTTTTTTGGACCCTTATAGAGTTGTCTTCATTTTTTGGTGGGCTGGAATGTTTCTGAAAGGGCCCATTGCAGGGTGCTGGGCAGTATTTCTGGTTTTGGAGGGTTATGTGGGTACTTGTGGGAAGCTTAGGCATGTCCTCTCAGGTTCTCTTGGTGTCTCTTCATCTGATCTTTTAGCTTCTGGATCTTGAGCACTAGGGCCTGGGCTTCCCAGGCTCCCTCCTGCCCTACCAGCAGGGTCTGGTACAGCTCCAGCTGCTGCTCCAGCAACTCTTAAGCTTGAGTCAGCTCAGCTTTGTGGTGGGGTCAAGGTTCCTGGATGAAGCAGGAATTGGGGGAGGCAGCAGCATCAGCCACGATTGGGGGCTAAGGCACTGGGAAGCTGTGTTGCAGAGTGTGGCTAGAATTCAAGAATTCTGTCTTTTTTTTTTTTTTTTTTAAATACCCTATTAGTTTAAGGTCATCTCTGAAGCTCAGGTAGCTTCCTCTATCAAAGACATGCTGGGGGCGGGGAAGGGGATTAGGTAGATATCACTGGCTCAGGGGCTGCCTTAAAAAGGTTTATGGACAAGAGGACTAACTGTCCCTCCTCCCTAGGAAATAATTAACTGTTAGATGAGGGGGAAATTCCTGTTCAAGGAGAGAGGGAACCCTGAGATCTAGGTTAGTGTTGGGGGGGAAGGAGTTGAGAGTAAAAATTAGGCAAGGAGCTGCAGGGTTTGATGGGTACAGCATAAACTGGACATTTTTTTTTTTATTCCTTACCCTAATACAAATCGTTTTATTTTAATACAAATCATTTTATTTTTTTAGTTTGACATAAGACTTTCATTTTGTTTATTTTTATGTGGTGCTGAGGATCAAGCCCAGCACCTTGCACATGCCAGGCAAGTGCTCTACCACTTAGCCACAACCCCCAGCCCCCCATACAAATCTTGACACACTCCTCCTACCTTTGACACTTACCCTGGCAGGTGACCTCATCTTCTCACCACCTGAGGAGCTGGTCTGTTCTTCCATGCTTTTTTTGGGATTCTGGAAATAGCACCCTCGGGATCCTTGGGGGCCCAGGACCCAGGAGGGCAATAGGAGGCAAAGGCGACAGTACTGAGTGATCCAGGCCAGAGGGAGGACATGGCTGGTGAGGCAGGGAGCTGTCTTGAGCTGCCCAACAGCCACCAGGAACTGGCTGTCTCCAGGCCTTGGCCTCACTTTGAGTGCCTGTCCCGCCCAGGGACCCGCCCCTGCCTGACCCTCTTTGCCTCCACCTTCCTAGCCTGGCTGAACAGTCTAGGAACAAGAGTCCTGGTATGAACATGTTCCCGTCAGTTTAGACAGAATTTGGTTTAGAATGCCTAGCCTACCATGTCTTGAGTTTGTTTCTGCTAGCACTATCTTCTAATTTCTCCCTCAATGCTGTAACAGGAATTACGTCACTGGTTTTTAGATGAGAAAACTAACTAGGATTGTTTACCTTTCTCTTAATTTTGTTGGCCCAGAATGACCTTTTTTTCCTGTCCTGTTTTGCAGTATGTGTTGTAGGGGTTGCCTTTAGTTAGATCAGGCTCCTTTGTATCACGTGTTGCTTATGACAGTGTGACACTAGTAAAGGTGTCAAGCTTTGTTGAGCTAGTGAAGTCTCCCTTGGCACCTATACATAAACCTGTCCACACAGTGTGAACCTGTGTACAGATGGTAGGTGTCCTGCAGTGTGTTCTAAAGTGTCTCTTGTGGCTAGAGACCCCAGGCACATTCCTGTGTGCAGTGGTGGCTCAGGGGGATCTATATTTTGATCATGTGGGAAATGGAAGGTCCTCAGAAGGCAGGATTGCTAGAGAGTAAACAGTTGCTAACCAACTCACTATTTGGAAACAGGGAAGATGGCTGAGGAGTCCAGAAGCCAGACGGAGAGTTTTCTGGAGGTCCTTGCTGCTCAAGCTTGGGCTGAAATGCATTTAGATGAGGCGGAACACCTCAGTTTGTCAGCTGACTTGTTTCCTAGTGTAAAAAGAGGCAAAACTGTAAAAGGGAGAATGGTTTTCTCTGTTTCTTAGTGACAAGGTTCTCATATTTGAATTTGCAATGGCTTAAAGTCTTAATTACTGGAAAATAGGCTCAAAGTACTGTCATTACAGATATGTGAAACTAGTACATGTGAATCTCACCAACATTGAAGTTAACCTAACCATGTTTGTCAGTTAAAAGCAAGCTCAGCAGCTATTCAGGATAACAAAAAACAAACCATGACATTTCTGTAGGGTAATCTAAATGATACATTAAATAACCCTTCCTGAAAAGCAGACATTTCAACCATCTGCTTTAGGTTATGCACTCTTAAATTGGACTAACCTACAATAATTTATAGTAGATATTCCTAAGCCACGGACAAAATAGTCTGAATTTTGGCGTTGTTCATCTATGTGAACTAAAGAAAGTTCTGGGATTTGGGTTGGTTGAAATCTGTTGAATGAACTGTGAATCATAGAAATGGAGTGAAGATAAATATGTATAAACCGGATTGCCTACTTTTATGTTAGTGTATATATTTACCTTTTGTCATTCCTGAATGTTTTGGAGTCATAATCATGAAAATTCTGGTCTCTGAAGACCCCTTCAATATCGCATCCTACTGAGGATTGACGGGACCAGAGTGATGGAGTAACTGACATGAATTTATGTCTTGTGAAACATATGCAGATGGGGACTTAGAGATATAGAGGTGCACTCATTGTATTTATGTGAAAATAAGTGTCAAAACAACTAGCTGGGCACATTTTTGTTCCTGTCAACAGTTGATGTTCATAGCAACCTTTCAAGAGAGCCTTTCTCATTTCACTTTTCTTGCATGTGATGTCCGGTCCAGCACCCTTTGTTGAAAAGACTGTTTTCTCCACTGAACTGTCTTTGCTCCTTTGTATCTAGGTGGGTCTGTTTATGGTCTCTCCATTCTGTTCCACACATTCATTTATTCTTTTGGTGTTACTGCAGTGTATTTTAAAAATCATTTCAGTTGGCAAAAATTTTGTATTTATGATGTACATGATATTTTGATAAGTGTATCCATTGAAAATGGCTAACTCAAGTTACTTAGCATATATCACACATATATACCATTTTATTTTGTAACAAGAACAGTGTCAGCAGTTTTCAACTATACCAGTATATTGTTCAGTCACTATGAGATAAAAAATCTCTTGAACTCATTTCTTCCTATGTAACTGTAATTTTAGTCTTTAGCATCACCACAATTGTCCCATCGCTTAACCTATAGTATCCACCAGTTTGCTCTCTACATAAATTTGATTTTTTTTTTCTCTATAAGTGAAGTCATCTATGCTGGGCTTATTTCACTTAATGTCTTCCAGGTTCATCCTTATCACAAATGATAGGATTTCCTTTTTTTTTCAAGGCTTAATAGTATTTCATTGTGTATATAAACCCCATTTTCTTTCTTCATCTGCTGATATATCAACATAAGTTGATTTAGTCTATATGTTGGCTATTGTAAATAATGCTGCAATCAACATGGTAACACAGATGTCTTTGACACTGATTTCGTACCTTTGGATATATATACTCACTAGTAGGATTGTTGAATCATACAGTCATTCTATTTTTAATTTTTTTGTGTGTGGGGAAACGCGCCATACTGTTTTTAATAAAGGCTACCAATGTGGTACTAATTACTACATAGTCATGATTATTAAAGTCAGGTAGTGACTGTCCTTTGACTTTTTTTTTATTCTACATTGTATTAGCTAGATTTTCTTCCTCTCCATATAAACTTTAAACCAGTTTGTCAATTTCCACAAAATAACTTGCTGAGATTTTGATTGGGATTGATCAGTTGGGAAAAATTACAATGACTATTTGTTTTATTCATGAACATGGAATATACTGTATTTTTTAGTTGATGACTTTCATCAGAGTTTTGTAGTTTTGCTTTTATACATACTTAGATTTATAACCTGAGATTGTACCTAAGTATTGAATTGAAGTGTAGCTCATTGGTAAGCAGTTGCCTAACATGTGAGGCCTTTAGGTTTGATCCCCAAGAAAGAACACACATACACCAAGGGGCAGAAGAACAAGCTCTAAGTATTTTACTTTTAGGGAGTGCTAATGTAAATGGTATCATGTTTTGCTTCTCAATTTCCACTCATTCCTCACTGGTATATAGGAAAGTGATTGAATTTTATATATTAACCTTGTATCCTGCAACCTTACTATATATTCTTTTTGTTTCCAGGGATTTCTTTTCTTTTTTGTTGTATTTTTGGCATACATAAAGTAAATATGAAACATCATAGGGAAATAATAATTATTATAAAAGCATTATTGTTATGACATAAGTCTTGAAACTTTGATCTAGTTTATGTTCTCAGTTTTATTTAAACTAATAGAGTATTTTTATTAAAGATGTTTGCAAGACTCAGAGACAGTGTTTCATCACCTTTCTCTGTCTCAAACTTTTAACTATGGCTTTCCCAAAAGAAATATTACTATTAACAAAAAATTAGATGAGAGCATTTGATTTACAGAGTCTTGAAACAATATTTTGTGGCTTTTTTGTGTGTGTGTCACTAAGGATTGAACCCAGGGCCTCCTGCATGCCACCACTCTACCACTGAGTAATACCCTCAGCCTTTTAAAAATTTTATTTTGGGGCTGGGGATGTGGCTCAAGCGGTAGCGCGCTTGCCTGAAATGCGTGTGGCCCGGGTTTGATCCTCAGCACCACATACAAACAAAGATGTATTCTCTCTCTCTCTCTCTCTCTCTCTCTCAAAAATAAATAAATAAATAAATAAATAAATTTTAAAAAAATTTTATTTTGAGGCAAGGTCTTGCTAAGTTGCCCAGGCTGGCCTTGAACCTGTGATCCTCCTGTTTCAGTCCCCCCAGTAGTGGGATAACATGCATGTATCACAATATCTGGCTTTAATTTTGGTTTTAACATATGCAAACACTTTGATGATCCTCCCTTGCAGAGAGGCAGCTTATTCCCATCTCTATAATGGAGTATGGCCTGAACTTGCCAACTCGCCTCTGTGTGATGGAATAAGGTTGATGTAATGGGTTATGACTCTGGGTGTAAGATTAAAATACATTGCAGTTTTCATTTTGGTTCTTTCTGTCTCTTGGACCCCTAGCTCTGGGGATGCCAGCTGTTGAGTCATGAGCAGCCTGTGGAAAGGTCCAGGTGACTAGGAATGGAGGCCTCTTAGGACCAGCTAGCAAGTACCTGAGTCCTCTCCAACAGCCATATGAAGGAGCCATGCTCCTTGGGAACCCCCAGTGCCAGTCAGGTCCTCAAAGGATGCAGCCTTGGCTGATGACTGCGACCTTGTGAGAGACCCTGAGCCAGAAGCACTCAAGGAACCTCTCCTGGATTCCTAACCATCACACCCTGAGGGAGATAATGTTCCATGTTTCCAGCTGCCAAGTTTTGGGTAGTTTGTTATATAGCAGTAGATAAGTAATATAGATTCTAAGGAAAGATTAAATCATTGTACTTTTTTATTTGCCCTAAATAAAACGTGTCAGTTAAATGATATTTAACATGTCAGTTGGATTTAAGATTTTTCACAGCTAAGTGGGATGTAATTTATTATTATTCTCAAACATCTGTTTATTTGACTTTCATGATCCAGCTGTGACTCAATTACACAAAAAAGTAAGAATCTGGCTATGTTAGTCTGATTTTGTGATGGATCCTGACACCACCCCAGTTAGCCACCTTTCTTCAATCAATCAAATGCTAAGGTATTTGCTACTGTGAAGGGATTTTTGCAGATGAGATTACAGTCTCAAATCAGTTAACCTTAACATGGGGACTGTCCTAACTAGGTGATCCTTTAAAAGGACCAAGCTCTTCCTGAGAGAAGAGATCCATTGTGTGAGAAGGATTCAGTGTGAGAGATCTTCTTAAATGTGGGCTTTGAAAATGGAGGGGCAAGTCAGGTGCGGTGGGGCATGCCTGTAATCCCAGCAGCTCTGGAGGCTGAGGCAGGAGGATTGTGAGTTCAAAGCCAGCCTCAGGAAAAGCAAGGTGCTAAGCAACTCAGTGAACCCTGTCTCTAAATAAAATACAAAATTGGGCTGGGGATGTGGCTAAGTGGTCACCAAGTTGCCAGTAGTCCTCCCCCTCTCTCCCTGACAGCCAGCAAGGAGAGAGGGACCTCAGCCCTAAACATGCAGGAAATGGGATTCTGCCCACAGCATTGTGTGAGTTTGGAGGATACTTGAGATGAGACCACAACTTTATGAAATCCTGAAGTGAGAATCCATGCATACCATGCTTAGATTTCTGACTAAGGAAATGTAAGCAAATAAACAGGGTAATATTTTGGGCTATCAAGTTTGTGGTAACTTCTTATGTAGTAATCAAACTGTCAGGCTCAACTGTGCAACAGATAAGTGTTTTCTCCATTGGAATGAATTTATAAATTGTGTACATGAAATGCATGAAATAAAATATTTTTTTGTTTTTTAATGACTTCTGTGTGATGCAATTTCATTTAAATACAATTACATTTCATTTGTTCAACAAAAATGAATGTAGTGCCTACTGTGTACCAAGTATGATTTTAAATGCTGTGAATCCAATGCTGACTAAAACAGCCCTAAAAGCCTCTGTAATCATAGGTCTTATGTTCTAGAGATTTCTTTGGACTTATTAGATGGAATCTCTGGAACATTTTAAATGAAGAAATGAGAACCTGACTTATTAGCAGGATGGTTGATCATGGTGAGAATAGTTATGGTGCCATATAAGGGGACAATCCTGGTACCAAAATTCAGTGAGGGGTGGTAAGTTCCAAGGGGAGATTGGTGTCTGAGGGATGAGAAAGAAGTGCTGGGGAAGCTAGAGGTGAGAAAATAAAGCAGAGGTAAAGGATTCTAAAGCAGTGGAATTCTCTCACTTAAGCAGTGTGTGTGTGTGTGTGTGTGTGTGTGTGTGTGTGTGTGTGTGATTTGTATATATTTTAGTTGTAGATGGACACAATACCTTTATTTTATTTGTTTATTTTTATGTGGTGCCAGGGATTGAACCAATGCCTCATGTATGCTAGGCAAGCACTCTACCACTGAGACACAACCCCATCCCTTAAGCATGTTTTTTTTTTTAATAATTTTAAATAGACATATATACAGAGCCTAGCAGAGTACCCTTTACATTTGCTATGAAATACATTCTATGAGATGCTTGTTAATGAATTGCTTCCTTATGTTAATTCAGGTTAAAAAATAACATTATCAAGCTTTCCAAATTAATCTGCACACCATTTAATTGTGAATAATCCATAGAAGAGGCAATGCTTGAACACTTGCAACTTGAGGTTTCTGTGGTTGAAATATATAGTAACAAATTGTACTTTTGTATGCTTCTCCTTTCATCAATCCCCTCTTAGCTGTGGCTTTCCTTTTGAAGTTTCAGTTACCCTCAGTTAAGGAGGTCCAGAAATGGAAAAGAAACAATTCATAAGTTTTTGGTTGGGTACCTTTCTCAGCAGTGTGAGAACTTGTGCCAACTTGGTCCCTCCTGCTGGGATGTAAATCATCCCTCTGTGCAGTGTATATCCATGTTGTACAGGTTATTTAGTAGCCAATTTGTTTATTGGATTAACTGTAATAGAGTGGCAGTGCACTAGTGCCTAGCACTACATACTCTGCCTATATCATTTAAATCACTTCATCTCATATAGGCATTGTATCATCATCATAAGAAGGATGAGTACAGTACAAGGAGATATTTTGAGAGAGGGAAAGAGATAACAACCACATAGCCTTTATTACAGTATGTTATTCTATTTTATTATTAGCTATTATTGTTAATCAGTGATGGTGCCTGATTTATTAGACTTTATTACAGGTGTTTAAGTACACAGGAAAACACATAACATAGATAGAATTCAGTACTATGCCATATTCCAGGCACCAAGGAGGGATATTGAAATATATTCCTCATGGAAAATGGGAACCTGCTGTATTGAAGCTATGTCTTAGGGTTACACAGACAAACTCAAGACTATGGAATAAAGATAATTTTAAAAACACAACAACACTTAGTCTGATGTTTTATCTGGGAAAGTAATATTTAGGAGTTTTGTGAGTCTTAAGAGCAATGCTATTTGGACATACTTACAAATGAAGGGACCAAAATACCCTCCACCCCTACTGGGAACTGAACCCAGGATGGTGCACATGCTAGTTAAATGCTATCACTGAGCTAGCTCTCCAGCCCTTTCTTAATTTTTTAAAAATTGAGACAGAGTCCTGTTAAGTTGATCAGGTTGGTCTTGAACTTGTGAATTCTCCTGCCTTAGCCTCCAGTGTAGCTGAGATTACAGGCATGTACTACTCAGTAGGTAGCTACTGAGACATGAATGGGTGAGCAGGGGAAAGATGATTAAGGCTGGACACAGTGGTGCACATTGTAATCCTGGTGATGGGGGGTTGAGGTAGGAGGATTGCAAGTTAGAGGCCAGCTTAAGCAATTTTGTGAGGCCCTAAGCAACCTAGTGAGACCCTGTCTGGAAAAAAAAAAAAAGCTGGGGATGTATTTTAGTGGTAAAGCATCCCTGAGTTCAATCCCCAGTGTTGGGAAGAACTTGACACAGGCAAAACCATTTTGAAACATGGCCTCCATGGAGTTACCTCACAGTCACTGTGACTCAGTCAGACCTTAAACCCAGACAATAAGCACCAGACAATACTCCATCATACAAAGAAAGAAAATTGTTATCTGGGACTGGAATCCTGAAAATACCTGGTTTGACATGGAACAGTGACCACCTTAAAGAATAGAGATGAGGACCACAAGGATCCTTCCCTGTCAACCCCTTAGCAATGGTATAACTGTAAAAAATACCCCTACCCCCTCATCCTCCTGTATCTACCCCAGGCTGTAAGCAGAAGATAGGTCTCAGTCTCCACTGGGTCCCCTTTGCAGGTTTGTCATGAATAAACCTCTGTTACTGTTGAGCCTCTTCTCCTCTCTTTTTATTTCCTTCATTCACTTCTTTCCTTACATTTTAGTGCTGAAACCCAGGACTGGCGTTTGAGGC